ATTTCTGCTTGGAGCGAGGTGAGAGAGGCATGTACATGCACATACAAACCATGAGTGTGTACAGTCAGATGATTCAAAAAGGGACTAGCATGTTACTCACATCTTGAACAGTCTGTATGAAAGGATCTTTCCATTCAAATACCACAAAAAACAGCTGGTCACTTCTTGGTTTAGTTCTCTGGTCAATATAGTTAACCACACTAGTCTGGGGAGAGAAAGAAAAGGCAAATGTGCACGTTACTTTCTTCAGTGGTGTAATGAGTCTTTTGTGCAACAGAAAATACGTGTAAGAAGGTGGAAATATCAGATTGCTCAGGGACTTCCAATCCAGCCTTCCTCTACCTGGAACAATGGGCTCCCTGAATATGGAAAGGGTAGTTTCCTCCATCTGTCTCATGTCTGTATTCTTTTCCTATTTCTCACTTAAATACCCCTGCAATACCATTTTTACACTGGTAGCTAGAGCCTTTATTTTATTACATAGTTTTTTCCCCTTTCAAGGGGGGAAATTTCATTTGCAAAATTCATTTACTGAAAAGTAATACAGTATTTGGAAAGTTCTCACAAATGAATGCTAGATTATTTTTATTTACCAGAGAACCACATGATAGTGGCAGGAAGACTTTTTTTTTTTTTAATTTAAAAATCAGCTGTAGAATAAACTAGAAGATGCTAGCAAGTGCAGAATGAAAACGGAAGGGAAATGGAAGCCTAGATGTTAACAATTAAAAAACATACTTTCCAGTACTGCCCATTAACTAGGTTACCATTTGAAACTAGCACTGAGCAGCAGAGAGCTTTAGCGCAATCCCACCAGTGTACAGTTCGATGTTACAGCTAAAGCCATAGTCTTAATACTTTCCTGATGGTGGTTCTTAAGACATCAGGCCTCAGAAAAACATTTATCTTGTAACACACGCACCCCCAGCCCAGAGGGGAAGTGCACGGAGTTTGTACACATGCAGCAACACCAGGGTTTGCACTAACCCCCTGCTGCTAGGAGACAATGTAAACTGGTCAAGAGCCAGGCAGTTCCCTAAAGGGAAAGCACACCCCAGCTGCACCAGAACAAGTGATGGAGGGACCTGCCCCTTCTCCAACCCTCAAAGTACTTACACCTTGGTGTGCACACAAGGGAGTACTGCTGCTCTGCCTATGTTAGTTTAATGCTGTACGGGAAGTCAAGAATCCAGCAGTACTGTAACTGCATTTCAGGGTTGTGACAGGAACATGAGACAGATGGAGGAAACGGCCCTTTCCATATTCTGGGAGCCCATTGTTCCAGGTAGAGGAAGGCTGGATTGGAAGTCCCTGAGCAGTCTGCTATTTCCACCTTCTTACAAGCCTTTCCATTGTACGAAGAATGACCTACTACAGAAGCCTCCCATCTACCATGGCTTAGTTCTTTCAAATACTTGAAGATTCCTATCAGTCTTCTCCACACACCCTGCCCTGACCAGATTTAGGCTGCAAACACGTAGAAGCGGGAGTCCAAACACTATGTGTGTCCATTCAGAGCACACGGGAGCTTCGCCACCTCACATTTTCTGGTCAAACACCTTTGCTGCAGGCTTACCCTACGCTCCTACGGCTCATTTACTTGTTGCAGCATACCATCACCCCACCTACACTCATTCAAGAAAACTGCACACCAGGAAGCAAACAGTATGCAAAGCTAAATGAAGGCAATGGGAAAGGAATAAAAGCCAAAGTAATGACTACTGGGCTAGTTGGCAGACTGACTGCTATTTGACCTAATACTTGTATCCATCTTTCTGGTATGCCATCTCCCAGTTTTAGATTTGAAAGGCTAATGGATTTCCTTATGCAATTTGAGCAGATGTACTGTCAAACAAAGCAAGTGCAATTTATGTCTGAGCTATTTCAGCTTCTACTGCATCAGCTTCTAGTGGGATCTGAAGCCCAAAATTTTTTGTACCAATTCCTATTTCCTAGATTTTATTAAAAAACAGCCAACCCACAAAACAAACAAAAAACCAACCAACACAGTGTACACCTACACAGATGATCATAGAGTCCATAGATGCTGGACTAAATTAATGTTTATGGTCACAAAAAGCTCAGCTTTTTGTTTCCACTTTGAGACAGGTTAGACTTGGCCACAAAAAGGAGGACTTTCAAAGACCCTACAATGGTAAGTACAAAATGGCAAGTGATAGATACAGAGTGTCAGTGATGAAGGACAGACAGACAACTGCTGTTAGTGCGTACGTGGCAGCAGCTGACTGATGCGTTCTTTCCTTTACTCCAAAATAAGACATTAGTTGGGGACTTGCATGACTCTGGGATTTGTCTCCTGTCTTCCTCCAGGGGAGTAGGAGGGTAACTACCTCAGCTCTTCCCTTAAGGCTTCACCATGTAATGCCCTAACTCTAAGAACTAAAGACAGGAGAACTGAAGATTCTGCTTCATTTCTATCTCCACAAAGTACTGCTTCCAAGCGTACCACGGATTAAGTGTAGTCTCCGAAAGATACATTCTCTGGAAAGGATTACTCTTAAAATTCTTATTTCTCACATTTAATGAGACACTTCCTCTTCAACCAACACTGGGAGCAAGATAACAAACTCAAAACAATTATTCTCCTGTCCATTACTGTGAACAGAACAGGACCAAAAGTAAAAGTCATTTCATCTCCAGCTAAGGTTGCATCTTCCACCTGCCTATTTTCTAGTTTGAATTGATGCAAGAAGTTACTCTATTATTCTAAGCATATTCAACAGCTAAAAATCCCAAACCTAAACAAAAAGCAGACATGAGAATGCTACAAAGGATACAAGGCTTGTGTTTACCTCTTCATGCTAACATCAGCCTAAATACCACCTCTTTCCAGTACTATCTCTTATTTAGACAGTTCCTTTGGCAATTGTTCCCCACCTTGAACTAAAGGTAGCTGTGTTAATATTGATATGTCAGTCTCTTCGGACCCTTACTTCAGACTACAGGTCTTACTTAGGTCACATTCAAGCCCTGGATTTTCTGGCCTCCCCATTAGGAGATGTTTGCCTGAGATATGTCACTAGGCCACATCAACAGCCGAGACATAAATGTCATGATGCTTTTACAGACGCTCTCCATGTTAAGAAGGAACGTAAGTAACTGTAAGCCAAAACTGCTCAGTGGAAGTGGCACAATGGATGCAGTGAAACAAAAGCCAAGCTCCTGATGTTTCATTTAACCAACCCATCTACCCACCCTTCTTCCAACTCATACTGTTATTTGCCCCAAGAACTGCTTCTAGTGGACAGTTATCATTAAAACTGTGGCAGTAACTAGTTCTTAATAAACTAAGAGGTCCCAAAACACTTTTTTTTTTTTTTTTTTTTTTTTTTTGTTTTCACCAAGGACATCTTGACCCAAGTTCGAAAGCCTCCGGAAAACTTCCAGCCGGAGTATGAACTTTCACAGTCCTTCATGAATTCTGCTTTTTCTGGACTAAAAGAAAAAGACCATTACTTTACTGACCAAACTCAGAGCGGTATCTGAGTACTGTAGGCAGGAAAATGTCAGATCTACAGGCACTTCAAAATGTGTTTACAATTCCTTTTATGCTGAATTTTAGCAGCTGAACCATATCTAAAACATTGTGAGTAGTGATGTTTTGATTAGCGGTAGCACTCGCACTCCTGTGCTCTTAACCACAGAAGCCCTACCTGGTGCCCTACCACCCTAGAGTTCTGCCTGCCCCTCGGGATTGTTCTGCCTTACGGAGGAGCTTTGTTCTACTCATCTGGCATCTCTTGGACAGAAAGGAGCAGAGCCAGGACCCCAGGAAACAACTCGCCACAATGCTACGAAGCAAGAGATGGAAAGAACATCCTAGAGGCAGGGCAGGCTGCTTCACCCCACTTCTGGGATGCAAATAAACTGGTTGCAATGCAGACATACTTAAAACGCTTTGAAATGTATATTCAGTATATTCCTATTATTTTGGAAACACTGTCCCTTTGGTGTAAGGCTCCCACCTGCAATAACACAGCTGCTTTTCCAACATGCAGTCACAGGTATTTGTAGCCCCAGAACAGCAGGACTGCTGTGTCTTTTTTTTTAATAGTAGACCATAAGCCATTTTAAGGCTTCCAATACCCCTCACGCTACAAGTGGTACAGGCTCTAAGACCTACCTGTCTCCATCCTTTCTCTACCAGCTGCACAGGACACAGTGAATTAACCATGCTATTTACTTGGAGCTCCTCAGTACTGTGATTTTAGCCATTTGCATGTCATCTCTATGAAATAAGCCTGGCCCTGCAGCTGCTTTTTCAACAAGGTTTCATTTGAAATGAAGGGGTAAGCCACTGTGATGTCATGAATCATTAAAGCACAGACTGCTGATTTTTACTAAGGATAGATTTCAGGATGCAGAGATGTGTCAGGGTATGCTGGTCCTTGAGAAAGGGAAAAGGTTTTGACTCTGACTAAATCCATCTTCCTAGGTGAAGGGAAATAATATACTTTGCTTATATGGCTGAGGGGGCACATGACTAGGTCAGTGGGAAGATAAAGGTATTTTGGTCTTCCAGGAGAAAGAGGCAAAGAATCATAGAAGAAAAGTTGGGCTGAAGAAGCAAGTTCTTGTGCTAGAGAACAGACTGGTCAGGAAGATTTGTCCTATACAAGCACTGACTGGATTTGCATTTTTCCTGTCTTTTTCCTTAGTTTTCAGAATTGGGTCTTCTTTTCTTCCTACAAAACAAGATGCCTTCCTTGTCTACAGGGCAGCAAAAGCACACACTGAAAAAAAAGAATATACTGATGGCTACCCTGTACTATGATGCCTGCTCAGGCTTAACAGATGAATATGCACATGTTCCAAGGAAGGCAAAACCTAGCAAAGCCATTGCTCTCAAGTCAGGGCTTCGGGTGATGTGCTCAAACAGAGAACTCCATTGTCCATACAAACAGAAAGAAGAAGTGTTTCTGGAAAGAAAAACTAACATGCTTTGCTACCCATCAAGACAGATGATACTCCAGAGTGTTTTAGCAAGTTAGGAATATCCTTATCTATTTGTAATGTTAGATGCCTGTTTAGTGACCCCAACAGTATGGCAGTGTGCCTCTCTAACCCCCACAGGGAAGATGTGGGCAAAGCATAAGAACAAAGCCCATCGCCTGACTGCTCCTCAGCACACAAACCAGCGACACAGGAGGACCTAATCTGACCGTGATTTCTTCCCTCTTTGGTATGTTAGGTACAGCGGCAGCTGATGGGACAGTATAGAAGAGCACAGCACTTGGCCACTCAGGGGAACAAACAGAATTAGCACTCTGCCAGTCAGTCATATGCCTAACGCTGGACTAAATACAGCATCCTAGAAAAGCTTTCCAAACCTACACGGAAAATTGAGGCAGGAAGTTATGACGCAGAGCTGAACGTTACAGCCACAACTTACATGGTAAGCAAACAGCAGTAGTATACTTTGCCTTTGACAGTAATTGTATGCTTGAAAAAGAATGATTAATATCTTAAGAGAAGCTGCGGAGAAGTGATCTGAGAAGGCATCTGCTTGCATGTGCCCATCATCCAGACCACTGCCAGAGTCAGGGGAAAAAAAAAAAAAGAGGTGGGGTGGGGGAGCAGAGCAGAGAGGCACAAGCTTTGCACACAGATAGCAGAGGGCAAATAACACAGCTTAAAAACCACACACAACTAAGTGAACACAAGACAGACAAGGGATCTTAAATCGAACAATTCTCCAGGCATTTCTTTTCAATTCCCTCTTCACCCCAAAGACAGACAACCTGCAGAGGCTGCACATTTTTTGTTGCTGTTGTTCAGTAAGTTGTTCCTTCTATTACACTGTCCTTTAGACATATGGCAAGATTCCCACTGTCTCAGGATATTAACGGTGCCTCGAGACCATGTAAAAATTCCTATATCACAGCGGCGAAAGAAAAGTGCAGGAGGCCACTGTCTCACTCAAGCCCTGGTCTCCCCTCAGCGCTCTGGTAACCACTAACAGTTCAAACTACTGAGAGGGAGCCCTCTGCCCCAGCCCAGACTATGAGACTGTATTGTCCCAGCTGTGGGAGTTACTGACCTCATTCCGGACTGGGCTGGAGCGCTGCAGAGGATCCTTCTAACACTCTGTGGACCCACCCGCAAGAGCCAGAGGCAGCTTAGGACGTCCCACCGCAGATTCCAATGCAACAGCAAGAGCCAAACCCACAGATGGGTCAAACCCAATTTATTGCTTTTGCTTTTCCCTAGACTGGGAAACTCTCAGACAGCCATGGGATCTAACAAAGTGTCAGATGGTGTGGTACCAAAAGTCTCGACCTTTCTATGTTATAATTTATTTCTCTGCACGCAGCACTTCAGACCAGAGACATGAACATGGAGCTCTGTTTAGACCCTTAAATAATCTCTGATCTGTTCAGACTGGTATTCATCATTTCATATGACTGTAAGTTATTTTACATGCTATGCTAACAATAGTTTTGTCAGTATTATGTTCAGAGGATTTTCTTCTTAAACCCACGTATTATATTAATGACAGTTCAGGAAAGGCACTTGTTTATTTAGCTGCACTTTTTAAAAAATTTGCAAGGGTTTCATTATTTCCTTCCCTCCAATTAATATGGTACAGACAGCCACTGTCTTAAAGAAAAAAAAAAAAAAAAAAAAAAAAAAAAAAAAAAAAAAAAAGAAAGAAGAAAAAAGGAAGCCGGTGGCAGTATCCCTCCAACTCACAGGCCAACAATAGCACACTGTTCAGCAGTGTTCTGTGAAGGCCAGAACAAAACTAGCAAGCAGTGCCAGTTTCAGGCAGTCTGTCGATCCAATTTTAGCAGAAGAGCTGCAGAGAATAAAACCCTAGACAGAAAGAACCGGACCTCACTTCAGTCCTCACCACTTGCTATGCCTCAAAAAAAACACTTAAAGATACAAGTCTCTGGATGCCATTTTAATTATTCCTGATGCTTGCAGCAGCCTTCACTGACAGGACTATTGCCATTTAAAGCAAAAGTGAGCTGCGCCTAATACTGCCTACACAGTGTCACATCCTGCTCTGTGGTGTAGATATAGCAGGACTTCTCTCACCAATTTCAAGGAGTTTTGATTTAAGATGATTGAATACCCTACACAAATATTTTACAGCAGTCTGCCTGCCCAGGCCAACCTAAGATGTTTGCAGCCATAACAAAACACTTGCAATTATGCTATCTCATGAGTTTTAGCATATATCTTGGCATCTCTGACAACACTTTACATGAATTGCTGGACACATTGTTAATAATATTCTCTCACAACCAGTGAGACACTTTGTTAGGAAAAGTAGGTAATAGCAGCCAGTAACTGAAGTTACTGAAAAAGGCTGTATGGAACGATACACAACAGTTTCTACAGTTCTTAGTCCAGACTTCCCATCAACTAAATTCAGCATCCACTGATGAACCAGAAATAATTTCTATTTTCTCGTGTGCTGGAAGTTGGACAGAACAAGTACATTCCGTATATGCATGTGGTTTCACATGCACTTCATATTCAGGAGAAAATGCAAACTTTCAACCTGCCCTGAGCCTGTCCAATTCATGCCCAGGACAGCAATACACAATCCTGAGCAAGATGAGCCATACAGTCTATACCAAGCTTTGGAGAAGGCTGTAAGAGAGACACTACTGGCCTCCTGAGCACAACTGGTTCTCTTACTATATTTTACCCAGACATGCAGATCGTTTACTACTAAGTTTAAAGTCCTACATACCTTTGCCAACCTTACCATTATATGGGTTAGTTTAAAAACAGTTTTAACTTGCACTCCTACTACCTGCTGCAAATGGGCACAAAGGATGCATCCCCAAACAGAGTTTTCACTTTGCTCCAAACATAACCCAGGCTCAGCCTTTACTCTCTCAGGTTCAGCCCTGGCGCCTTCCAACACCAAGACAAGGCAGCTTCTCTAGGAACAAAGTGACACTTCCCCATCTCTTCGGGGATTGATTCTGCCATCTAACCAATTTGACCTGGCAAACCGGGAGGCAGGGGGTTGCAATTCAGGTTTCTCTCAGACAGCTTACAGATTCTTACTGATTCACCTGCACTGGCACCTGCACAGAGCCTTGAAGCTAGGACCTTTGCAATACCGCTTATTGCTGTTGTGCAGCAATTGTGCATATCTAACTTGCCTGTGCACAACACATAGCACAAGCATCTGGGACAGCAGCATGCAGACCTACGGCTTGCTTGCAGAGATACTGCCAACTTAGGTAGGACATACATGTTTTAACTTGGGTAGAAACAGCTCCTTAAAACAGCTTATCTGCAAATTGATAAAATGAGCACAGAAAGGTGGCTTCCAAGACTTGAGTATGCATAGACCAAGTTGTGGTTTGGTAATTTGGCTCATCCTGCAGAAAGCCAGGAGCCAGATGCAACACAACCGTGCCTGCTGCTCTGTGTTTCACAAGGGGTGGTCTCAGATGGTGCTTGTGTCTTGCAGTACAGGAACAGCTGGGCACTTTGCTGGAATCAGGCCCACTCTATGTACTGCTAACTGCAGCACAAGCCACAAAAACCAAGAAAAAAACAACACAGAAGGAATGAGTAGCACCTGTGACATCATTACTCTTGACTGGTATTTTCTCACCCTAATATATCAATGCCTAAAATACCTGGAATATTAGCATTTTATGAGGTGTTTTAGTAGAGTTACAGACAGTACTTGATGACTTAAGATGTCTCCTTCACTGTAACAGAAATGCTTTGTAAAAAGCAAGTTCAGATAATTGGTCTTTGGCATCCCACAGATACCATGACTGAACACTTCCAGTCTTCACTCTATCTGAAAAACACCAGTATGATGCTTTGTTACGACAAAATCTGTTACTTTTCTTCCCCTCCCCTCATCCGATTTTGTTCTGCATATGGCCTTTATTTCCTGTTACTTTTTCACTGAGCAAATTGAGGTTTTCTAATAGATCTCACTGTGACTAGTATCTCTTACCTAGCTTTTAATCTGGATCACAGAAAGAACAGAACTTGAATTTAAATTAAAGCAAAATTAAACAGTGAAGTATGGGGTTTATTCTCACAAGGTGAGAAAAAGGATGGGGCTTTCAAGAAAGTTCAAGACAGGATTAAGTCCACTCCAGTTAAATTTAGAAGGAAGTGGATCAGTCACTCCAATAGCACTGTTGTCAAACCAATACAAAGAAATTTTGAAAACCCCATCTATGAAATTACACCATTCTGTAGATTCTTACATAACACTAGTAACAGAAAGAAATATAGTTAATCTTTCAACAAAATCAGAACAAATCAATCTAGGGATCTGATCTTTACAGTAATAGCTTTTTTTTTTTAAAAAAAAAAAAAAGCACAGAAACATTTGTGTTCTCAGTGCACTTCCTGAGCACATTGCCCAGGACAGCACATTTCCTGATCACCCACGGCAGCAGAGAGCAGTAAGCCAGTGCAAACTTCACACTTCTAGAAAGTGCAGCAACAAATGGCTGAAGGATAGCTGAAGAGCAGTTTTTGTCACTGAAAAAGTCCTCAATTCATTTTCTAAAATGTAAGATTAGTAACCTAAGACATGAAAGAGCATCAATGTAACCCAAACATTAAAAAAAAAAAAAAAAAAAAAAAAAGAGGATATAAAAGCCTGTCTGATTTTTACTTAAAAAGCCCTGCTTTCACTAGTATTGTTGTAGCACGTTCAATCGTTCATTGCAGGTACAGGCTATGAGCTTGTCTACATACCTGTTGATGAACTCTTGGAAAGAAGAAAACAGAAGGTAGTCAATGGCGCTAAAATCTTGGTCTGTTCCATTTAAATAAAACTGCAAAAACACCAGTTCCTTTTTCTTCACATCACGAGGGCCTTGAACAACCAAAGCATACTTCTGTAAGCAAACAGAGAGATGGTGAGAGTAGCAAAGGAATCCTCATTTCCTGTCCATTAATTTGCCATCTGTCACTAATATCCACAGAAATCAAATGCACACCAAGATTTTCTTGGCTTCTAATAAGTATACGTCTGCTAAAACATCTAACAAGAATGCCAACAGAATTCCTCCTGTTAGTTTAAAAATGAAGTCTTTACATCAAGATTTAGTGTTTTTCTAAGAAATCTGCTTTAGTTCTATCACAGTCCTTTGGGTGCATGTCAAGGCCCTGCAGCCTGCATTCTGCAGAAGGACAATCAAAACTGTTTTGAGCATCAAGGTCTAGGAACCTTCAGCTCTTGACATGAAACAAGTTAATGTGGAACCTGATGTGGAGAACATCAGGCTGCTTCCTGAGAAAGAGGGAACAGTTTCACAGTCCCCAGCACGTAAGTAAGCTGCCAAAAGGAAAAAAAAAAAACCAACGAAAAATGATACCAGGCAGAACACAACTTAAAAAGTAGTGCAGGCATATCTAACAGCAAGCTGTTGCTTGCAAAAGGATTCAGCCAATTTGAACTGGGCTCTACATGGTTCAGAGGTTTCTGCCTCAGTGCCTCTATTCCACTGCAGGACCAGGGCCTCCAGCTGCAAGCTTCTAAATGAATCCACCAGGCAACATAAAATGCAGATTCTCAGTTTGATAAAACATGCAAGAGGAGCCTATTAGTGGCAGAAATTAAACTAGACTTGCACCTAGAATATCACTTTTGAACATACTAAGCAGCTGCTTCCCAGAAAGAAATGGTGACTAGACAAAAGGCAAAACATGAAGGGGAAAAAAGCTGACCAAGCAGGTACCTGGACTGTTTGTTCATGTCTAGTTTGAGCAATGACTTTAGATGCAAATGACTGTATCTAATACTTTATTTTTTGAATATTTATATAGAAGCTGGATTCCCTGCATTTTTAAGGGCAATTTAAGACAATCACTCAATGTACCCATCTTATTGGCTCACAGCATTTCAGTGTAATGAAGCACTTGGTGCTCAGTTAAAGACTTTTCCAAGTGTGACAAAAATAAAATGTCATTCCCAGCAAACATACAAAAAGAAGTAAGCTATCCCGCTTTAATGGAATAACCACTACTGTTTTCAGTCAGAGCTAGATTTACTATATCAAGGAGTATGCTTGCCAGTTCATTTAGTGGAGGAATGAAGTGAGAGTTTCATTCTGAAAAGTGACTTATTTTGTCCCATTCAGGTTTTCATTCTCCACACACCCACATGACAGCTGATCTTCCATAACACATATATAGAATGACTGGGGTCTTTTACATTTCTGAAAACAAAAGGACAGATGGCTTGAAAAAAAACTAGAAGCAAGGATTTTTTGGCAGCACTTAGTAAATATTTTTACTTTCAAATACTATTACGAGCAGAAAACTCCCACTGAATAAGTTTTTTTCTATTATATTATAATTATTATTATTACCATGGTTTGATTAGTAAAAGGATCTGTGTAGTTGATTCTCTGAGTGGTGCACTCAATGTCTCCTGGCTGACCTGGATTTACCAGAGGCGGAATGTGATCATAGTAATGATGCTTGCAGCTCAGCAGCTTAGCCTTGCCTGGGTAAAAGGCAATACCTGTTTTGGGAGAAAAAACATTGACCAGAATTGATTTCCTTCCCAAGTACACAGATTTTCATTCTAGGATTTAATCCCACAGGGTAACGAGCTATCCTCAAGATCCAGCAAAACAATCAAATTAAACCACGAGCTTCAGCATTTCTCTGGAGCAGGACAAAAGTGCCAGCTGCACTGGGACAGAAACCCCACCATGTGTTGAAAGAAAAAACAGGGTTCATAATTCTGTTACAACAATCCAAGGTTCACAGAAGCTACTAAGTTTCCCCAGTCTTCCAACAAACCAACAGGCTCTCACCCCAAATGAAATGGACATATAAAATAAGTTAGGAGACTAACTGATGTCAAATGGGACATGTAGTGCTTCAGCATATACACGTTTTCAGATATTATCATTCAACATGTCAAATTTTACTTGGAAATAGTACTACACATGACAGATCAAAGATCCCTGGCAGATCTAATAGAAGTGAAAATATGCTCTTCAGGACATCTAGCATCTTCTGTTCGCTGAATACAATGGAATAAAAATCAGAGCCATAAAGGAAGTAGTAATTGTTACTAATGCTTATTTACTTATATCATTGGGTAGGCAGGCTACTACTTCACTTGTATGGAAATTTCATACACCCTATAAGCCTACCGTTTCAGACAAACAGCACACATTAAAAGAACCTCAGTCACCTCAGCTGTAAAAGACTACCAAAATACAAGGCTCAAAACCAAAAATCCTGTTACGCCACATATGCCACATTTATTACTGGAAACAAGTCTACTTGAAGATAATCTAGTCCAACTACCCCCCAAAAAATATGATTTGAGTTATTAGATACGATTAACTCACACAATGAAATCACCTGTCCCCCAAAATGTGAGATGTCAAAGCCATCAGCATATATCAGTCTAAAAATGCTTTATCCCCTTCTTCAGTACTCTGTGCCTGCAACTTGCTATCTCATCACCTTAACAGAGCGACAAAGCAAAGCGCTACATTAATTTAGGTTCTCTGATCTGGCAGGGATCCCCGACAATAATTCTGGATTTATACGTATGTTGCTCTGCTTTTTTAAATGACATTTTCCTCCTGTTCCTGTATGAAAAGCTCACATTAAAAAAAAAAAAAAAAGCAAGCAGCCTGCTCTTACAGTCAGATCCATATGGCCCAAACACAAAGACCTACTTACAGAGCTAAGCCTAACTGACCATACAGAAAAACAACTGCAGGAATATAGCAACAACTTGAAACACCTTTCAGCCACAATTTGTAAAATGTGGTAACACTTCAAACAAAAGTGTTATTTTTAAATTGGTAACTGACCTACCACAGCTCTATTTATGCAAGGTTACTGGATAATTAAAAAAAATTATAACTATAGAACTCACTATTCAAAAATGCTTCTGTGACATAATCCCTCCCGCAAACTGCAACACAGTTTTCTGATGCCACACAGCATTTTCATGCCAACATTGTTCCCTGCAGTCACATCACATCTTCATTGCCTACTGATGTAATACCAAGTTGTAAACAATGCAGAACAGAAGCAGAAAGTGGCATTGTGCTTATTTTGTGGTTGGTTTGAGAAATTCACCTCCTTTACTGTCAACAGCATCTCACTGTCCAGTGCAGCACTGAGGTCCTGATACACATCCTATGTGTCACCCTGTTCGAATGAAACAGTTTTGGGAATATTTCCATAAGGAATTACCTTCTGTCACTGAAAGAGGACTCATTTTAGGGTCTGAAAACACTTCTTACCTATTAAGTGTTGGATAATGCTCCACAGCTAATGTCATTCATGCTATTGGCATGAAAGTCCCAAAATCCCCTGTACAATATTAACATTTCCATGCAAAGTCAACACAGCATAGATTAAAAGAGGAAGTGAAAGACCTGGGTCAAAGCATTATATGCACTCTGGGCCCTGAAAAATCAACACCAAAAATTGAAGTCTAAGATAAATGTGAACAACTTAACCCATTTTGTTTGTTACCAGTCTTACCAGGTGCATCATACAAGGACACTTCCTTGTAAGAGACAGACATCACTGGATGCTTGAGCTTCTCTCTGAAGTCACTGATGGTTTGGTAGACAAGGAACACAGCTACAGCCATGAGCAGCAGATAAATAAACAGGAGAATTACTGAAAAAACATTCTTTAGGCAGGTCTTGCTGAAACGCAAAGAAGGGGCAGTAGTACCCAGTTCACTATCTGGAACCAAACAGAATATGGATTAGGACTTTAAAATACAGATATTTGGGCTGAGTTAATGTAGTGTTCATTTAAAGATCAATCACTTGCCTCAAACTCAGCTTGATTAAAAAACCCACAACTATTGCTGGTTTTGACTGCTGGTCAGACAAATGTGTCTTTCTCAAGCATGAGGCATAATCATCCAAAGATTGTGCCACTTTCTCACATGTTGAATTTGGCACTCTGCTTAAGGACAGGGCAGACAGGAAACAAGGTTTGTTTTCAAGAAGAACAACTCAGAAACAAAGTTCAAAGTTCATAAGAAAAAAAGTCTGCTCATGGTCAGTGTTTCCTCCTGGAAAGAATAATTCCTTTCCCCCCTGCCAGTCTGAAGTGATTCTTACACACACACAGAGATTTAATATTCTAATGCTCTTACACAGCTATACAGCTTACACTGCACTGCGTCTCCAACATGGCATGAGTCACTAGATATCTGTCACCATCTCACTTCTGGATTCTGGTTCGTAACTCCTTGTGCATACTACATAAAGTTTCACAAACAGATTCTTCAATTACTGCTAGAAAAAGACCAACCCAATTCTCTCAATTCTTGACTTCAAAGCTTATTCCCTGAAGATCTTGACACTAGTCACACTTGTACGCAGACACTGCTTTCCCCACCCTCCCTGCATTCGCCATTTCTTTTGGCAATACTTGTAAGGAAAAAGTTCACATACTCTTAAGTTACACGTCATGTTTCACCTGTTAGTGATATATAGCTGAACACACAAAAGGAGCATTAAAACCTAACATATGAAAGGAGATAAGTAGGCATATTTTACTCTGACTCTTCTGTGTGATGTAATTTAATGAGTCAGGCCTTCTAAGGCCATGCCACACTCTGCCCTTTAACTGTAATAGCAGGGTTTGGTGTTTGTTCCTTACCACAGCAAACACTGGCCTTGTAGTAAATCCTATTGAACACATTAGCTCTTACAAAGGTCTACGGTCACACACATGATCCCAAGTTACGTGCCAGGAGATGGCAGCCAAAGAAATCAGGATATTAATATGCATAAAATTGCACTACTGAAACAAGTATGTCTTGAACAGCTGCAAAGCATTTAGACGATACTCATTTTGGGTTGGCTTACCTTAATGCCTACATCTGAGCTGCAATAAGCCCATTTAACACTGCCCCTCACCCTCCAAAAGCAGGTCTGAACAGTCTAACTAAAAACCATTTAAAAGCAGATCTGTTCAATATTGCACCTTGCTCATGTAAAGCTGGCACAGACTTTGCTTGCAATCCACTGCCACCACAGACACTGCAACTCAGGTAAGATACAACACAAAGGAAGATGACACACTCAGCTATCTCAGAACCAGATGTGCTGAATCCTCTTTGAGCAGTTCATGGCAAAGAAATGTTCTCATCTCAATCCCTGAAAAAAATCCTTGGCTTTCTATCAGTATTTATTCCCCAAAATAAGTAATTTACTGTTTTGTTTGCTTTCAGAACTGCAATTAAAAAACCCCCAACCAAACCCACATGCAGAAGCAGCTTAAAATTGGTAATTTCTGGGTCAGTAGTTCTCACCTGGTAAAATAACAGAGCTGGCATCTTCATGAACTTCCATCTCTCCTTCTCTCTCATCTGTTGGGTTTTCAGATACTCGCTCCACATCTTCACTCAGCTGTGTAGTTAAAACAGTGGTTCAATTTCCAAACATGCTCTCAACTTGCAATTGTTGGAATTTCTATGGTACAAATAAAAGAGGCTCCAACTAACCAAACACACAAAAAAATGATCCCAGTCCAAGAGCACCCAACATCTGTTTCACTTGTTCACAAGGGCCACATTTTTGTAGACCTACAGCTAAAAATTAAGTGAGTTGCACACCGAAAAAAAGAGAAAGATGGCCTACTTCCATCCTGCTTCTTCAACAATGGCATCATGATTTCTTTCAAGATCAAAGTAATTGTTTCCCTGGCAGTTTCAGCTCACATTAAACCCCCAATTAGCACAATGCCCTCTGAAATAAGGAGGAACTTAATTCTGTCACTCAATAACATATTTTTTAGGCATAAACAAACCACAGCCCATACCTGCAAACAGAGAATTGGCACTTCTACATAAAGAGGTGCAAAGAGTGAGTTGCACTTTGACAGGTATTAGGGCAAGTAACTCAAATGCAGTCTCAGCCACATAGGTAGGTGGGTCATTACAAGACAACAGACAAACATCCCTACATTTCTGGTACTTATTTGAGCTCACTGCACATATTATTATATATTAGCGGTTATGCAACTAATTAGTCTCCCAGTGTTTCTAAAACAGCAACAGAAATCAAATGTTTTCTTGTTTTGCTATTCAGAGCTCTGGGCCAAGACACCTCCATCAAAGTCAGAAGCTTCTCATGTCAGATAGGTGTCACATGAGATTGTGAAGTATTAGACTTTATTAAATTTTCCTGTATGTTTTCCAGATTTCTTTCATGGCAGGGACTGACATACAAATTAGAGCAAGGCAAACTGGGGCACAAGCTTGCAGCGCATCACGTGTTGCACGGTAACTGTTCAAGCTAAACATTCAGCATCACCTACCCAATTAAGTAAGGAAGATTAGCTTTGTTCCTATTTCAAGGAAAATGGGGGCACAGTTAATGCAGCAGCCACACTGAATGCTATTAAACTTTACACCCCCAACTTACTCAACAGTAAAGTACATGTATCCATAAGGAAGTGCTTTTATTTCACCCAACTTTAATTCAGTATTTAAATCATCATTAGAGATCATCATTTGCACTTATTAGGAAAGAGTCCACTCATTTTACATCTTCAAAGTCTGACGTAAAGTGTCAATCATCTCTTGCTGTATTTCCGTATTCATTTCCACCATGCAAAGCAAGTTGAAAGCAGTTACCCACTTGTTTTTAAATTCTTTGCACATAAATAAAGCACGATTTCCCATGGTGTGAGGCATGGAGTGAACAGGTAACCAACAGGCTAAACTCAGCTCATTTGCAGGAGACTTACAGAACCCAATCGATGATACCTTTTTCAATTATCTTCCTAAAATTAAGGAAAATTAACACTCTGCTCCTTTTTGTAGAAGCACGGTAGTTCTATTTGTTCACCTGATCCAAAAGAAGCTCATCTGACACAGGAAGAGTATTCACTGAACCTCTTGTACTGGTTAGGCTAAAACAGCTAAGAAGCCTGTTCTGTTCTGTTCTACCAGAGCTGATCCAAAAAGTTACAAAGTCATCACTGCATTTTCTCAGCTGATTACCACACCTCTCTAGTTCAGCCACCCTTCCCCAGGTACAGGCACCTCATCAACTGAGGTTAGGTAGAGGGTAAGTGAATTCTACTCCTGATAGAAAAAAGATCCCAACACAAGTTTAAATAAGAACACGATACATAACATTTCTTATCCTCCCAAGAGGACCTACAGCAACTCTTCAATGTCTAGGAGAGAAGAAAAACTCAGAAAAATGTAACCATTCAGTGTTCCTTAGGAACAAAACCTCAAACAATAAGCAACTATGTTTTCTTATCTCTGCTCTAAGGCAGATAGTTTCATAACCTCTTCACATATAAAACCAGTTAAGTACAGCTAGTCAAAAACAGGAGTGCTAACATTGTCTCAGGTGCAGTCAGTATCTTGAGCTGGTCTGTAAAATCCCCTAAACCCAACTAATTTCACTGCAAATCCTGAACGCCTGACTTGACAAGAGGTGAAGTTGCATAGACCTACTGAGGTCACCAAGAACCTGGTGCTATTCGTGGCTCAGCCACTGTGTTTTGAGCGTACAGCACGCAGTAAACTGACTCTACAAGGCACAGCAGCACAGACCAACAAACTCAACAACTCACTGACATATTGATCTACAGCCTCCTAATGACTAGAAAGCCAGCACAACAGCCAATTCTAGTTTCTCCACGCTTGACAGAATCCCCATATCAAGGCAAATGACAACAGTGACCTGGTGTACACCAATGGTATTCACCCTCACAGGCCAGCATTTCCTACCTCTTACTTTTGGTAAAGATTGGATCATTGTGCTAATGCACAAGGACCGCAGATCTGCAGGGCAGTTAAGTCTGAATAGGATGTGGATAGGATAGGATAGGATAGGATAGGATGTGGATAGGATAGGATAGGATAGGATGTGGATAGGATAGGATAGGATAGGATGTGGATAGGATAGGATAGGATAGGATAGGATAGGATAGGATAGGATAGGATAGGATAGGATAGGATAGGATAGGATAGGATAGGATGTCAAGAGCAGGAAGGGCAGGAAACAGACCTTTGTTCAGCATTCGTCTGGGCTTGGCATGTACAGCTGAGTGAGAAACAACTGCAGGAGGCTGCCTGTGACCTGGCAGTTCTTTTTCAGTCCTGCACACAGAAAAGCACTGGGCAAAGACAAGCTAAGAAAAAGCAATTCCAGACAACTGAGCATCCTTGCTAGGGGCAGGAGCATCACAGACTGCCACAGGTGCTGGAGAATGTGTGGAAACACAGCTGCTGCACTTACACACCATCTAGACTTGCACCATGGAGTTTGGAACCGTCCCAAACATACAGAGCAGTGTCAGCGGTGGCTGATACACAAGGCGGAAATGTAACATGCATAGTCTGGTCTATACTTCAGGCATCAATGTGATTTCATTAACTCTCTGAGGTACCTCCCCTACATACAAGCTCTTACACGAGTTAATTTCATCCTGATAATCATGGGATAAAAACTTCCTTCAGGATAAAACCCTCTTAAACAAAAGGAGAACTTGTCCCTTCAGACCTTTTGCTGTTCCACTGATTCATCACCTCCCAGTGCCTTCTAGCCTAGCATGAAAACCAGAAGCTGAAACTAATCGGAGGTACTAAACTAAATTAGAACGTATTAAACCAGAGCCCCAAACTACCCATCACACGCAGGGGAAGGCAAACATCTGCATTCTTTTCGCCGGCGAGATGCAAACAAAAGTGCCCTGCTGCAAGCCTCCACCGCTGCTGAACTCGGCACAAGCAGCTTATGTCTCTAGTGGGAGAGAGGAGCCAGCAAGGCCCTCCGGCTGCCGGAGCCTGGGCATTGATATGCAAACCCGGCGCTGCCCCGGGCTCTTGGCAGGATGATAGCGCGGCCTTCCGCTTCCCATCTGAGGGAGAGCCCTGGTACCAAAGCTGCTTCTCGGGCCCGACAGCGCGCCTCTCCTTAGGAAAGCTCCGGTTACGGAGCTCACCGGCCAGCTGCACCTACCTCACACACTTAAAGAACAGCTGCCGGTTATTCTAACCGCGTTGAAAGGTAAAACGTGACAGTCAGGGTGCGCAGAACACCCGCTTCTTTCTGGAGAGGGCAGATGCAACCTGGTGCCCCGGCCAGCCAGCAGCGAGGAAGGTCGGGGCCAACACCTAGCAGATGACGGCCCACGGCGACACCCGCTCGGGCTCCAGCGGATGCGACCGGGCCAGAAGGGGCCGGTTAAGGCGCGGAGGGCTCCCTGTGGCGGGCGACTCGCTCCGGCGGCGCTCCCCGGCCAGCCCTGC